TATATATATATATATATATATATATATATATATATATATATATATATATATATATATATATATATATATATATATATATATATATATATATATATATATATATATATATATATATATATATATATATATATATATATATATATATATATATATATATATATATATATATATATATATATATATATATATATATATTACGCCAAAAGGTCTTTTTAAAAGCTTCAGTCAATACAGAATCGTGCGTCCAAGCTGGGTTAAATCATGTTACCCCTATTTTTACGATTTTGAAATCAGCTTAAAACTTATTTATTTGCACAATGAACATCCGTCTTATTTGTCTATGATTCAGCTGCGCGTTTGAGTTTCACTAAATAAAAGGCACTGTATATAAATTTCCGTAGTAATAATAATAATATATATATCTACCAAAAGACCTATTTTATGTATGTACGTATATGTGTATGTTGGTTTGTTTGTTTGTAGGAATGTTTGTATGTATGTAAGTATGTATGTATGGATTTATATATGCATGTTTGTATGCATGTACGCATTTTCTTACGCACTTAAGTATAGACAGTCTCTAAAATTTTAATCCTGCTAGCCCCGTGATATAATTTCTTTTGGAATTTTTGTTACTAAATAAAATTTCGTTTCGTTTCGCTTCGTTCCGTTTCGTTTCATTTTAAAGGTTACGCAAGCACGTGGCATGTCTGGTGCATTGTACTCTAACGAAACACGAGCTTAAGAGCAGACATCAGATACGGGCTTGAATTATTATAAGGCGATCGTCAGCAGGCGAGTCGTTACGGCTGGTTTATGTGCTGCCCGGGAAATAAATTTGTATCAATTCAGTAATAATAATAATAACAATAATAATCTTTTTATTATTAATAATAAAATAATAATAATTTTTATTTAAATAATAAAAAAAGATTGCATACATAAAATCAAAACTAACGCTAATAAAATTAGTAATAAAATTTCACTGACTGAAATGATGACAAGGTTTACGATGTTGATAATGATGTTTACGATGCTGATGATGATGTTTACGATGTTGATGATGATGTTTACGATGTTGATGATGATGTTTACGATGTTGATGATGATGTTTACGATGCTGATGATGATGTTTACGATGTTGATGATGATGTTTCTGACAAAAGTATTGATGTTCCGCGGGCAGTGGCTGTGATGTGAAAATAGTTATGACCACTAACGTGTTAAAGTGTTTGTCATGGTCCCAATGGTAATTGTCATCATAATAAACAAGAAATACAGGCGCACTGATTGAAGATAGCATAAAATAGCGTAAAAATATCTCACACACATCGTCTCATCTTTATTGATAACATTTTCACTCTAAACCTTTTCACATTTCATAACAAACATCTCCCTAATATAATCCGACAAAGTCAAGTCTAATAAATTTTGACCAGTTGAATAACAAACGATGCGTGTTATTATCATACATAGAGCATTCAAGCAGTCAACTTCACTTAGGCAAGCTTGAAATAAACTTAAATATTCTGAAGACTCTGAAGACTGACACTTCTATACATTCACACACACACACACACACACACACACACACACACACACACACACACACACACACACACACACACAAGCCAACATAATAACTTACACATGATAACATTAAAGATACAAACATGCATTCATTAAAAAAAATTATAGACAAACACAACATTATTGGCAAACAAACAAACAAATAAACAAACACACACACACACACACACACGCGCGCATACATTATAGATTATAGACACACAATGAAACACACACACATTATAAAAACAAGCACTCTGATTTAAACACACAACCCTTCATACACATAAGAGTCACATTTAATATCAACAGGCTATAATAATGATAATTCACCCACAATCATTAAACACGTAGTATCTACCTGATAAAATATTTGTTTCTCGACACGCAAACCCATCAAAAGAGTACAACTTCCTCATAAATCTTCGGCAAAATAATCTATATAACACAAAACTAAATGATTAATTATTTTACATCATTGTCCGCAATGAATAATATTTGGACTGAATTGTTTATATTTATGAGACTTTTCAGACTTCTTAAAAATAATTCTAATAAAAATAATTGAGCAGAAAGATGTTTAGAACACTGATCATATTCAAATATTTAAAAAAACACAAACATAATAGGACAAAGGTGGAAAAACAAGAAAAAAAAAACAAAAAACAAGAAAAAGAAAAAAAAATCTGAAACAAAAACAATTTGGAGAGATGAGATGCTGATGCAATAGGACTGAGACGGTGTGCTTGAACAAATATTTTTACGGTACATGCCAACTGTTATAAAGTTCTGCGGTTAAAAAGTTCTGCCAATTTGCCGCTGGTTTGGGTTGGACTGGAGTCTATTTAGGCGTGATGCTGAGTGTTATGAGTTGTTGTGCATTTACAGACCAGGTGTGTGGTCTGTATGTGGCGTGTGAATACAACTACGTTTTCTCTGTCTACAATACGCATGCTTTGATTGGTGTGTTAATGGTGTGAGGGTTAACTGTTGTATGTATGATATGTGATTATTGTGTATTTGAACGTGCTGTGAATAAAGTGCGTGTTGTCTATGTGAATATTGTGTGTGGTTTTTATGTGATATATTTATTGTGTTGTTTGCATGTGGTGGGAATAATGTAGTAATGCAAGTCATTTGTTGCCCGCTGTTTAAAAAGTTTTGCCAAATGTTGGCTCGAAGTTTATTTAGGAGTTCTGCTGACTGTCTTTATTGGTTGTGGTGTTCTTATAAACTGTTGTGCGTATCAACGCTTGAACTATGGTGTGAATGCAGTGTGAATATTACTTGCGGTGTATTTATACTTGGCTGTTATTATTCGGTTTCCGGTTTTTCCATGTGGCACGAATGTCGTGCTAAGCAAACTAATTTAAAAATTTTAATTTCATTTAATTAATATTTAAAATTTTTAATTTCATTTAATTAATATTTAAAAATTTTAATTTCATTTAATTAATTTCTAATTAAACATTTTTAAAACTCACTAATAGCGTCAACGAATATGCAGACGACATTATCCATATCCCGTCATCAAACCCAAGCTCCATCCAATCAGAACTCGACTCATCAACTATATAGTCGAATCTGTCGCTTAACTCACAATAGTCGTAAGAGAACAGCATTATCCCCAGAGCACCCACCAATCATACGCACGAATGAATTAAAAATATTAGGCATCACATTCACCTCCAAACTTTATGTTGCACCTCATATCAATCACATAATCGAAAAATGTTTTCAAATGTTTCACGCACTCAAAAACTCCGCTCACATAGTCCCAGAGGCATCAAATTATTCGGCGTCACTGAATCACTCTTGCACATCAAATATGAGGCTCTCTCCTGGTCTGGTTTCGCTACACAGCAACAACTTCGAAAAACTACAATCTCTCATCAAAAAATTAATTCGTCTCAACTACATACATTCATCATAGTCACCACAGTCACCCAAATATTCCACGCGCACAATTCAAGACTGTTCAAGTAAGTTGAAACTAACAACAACCTCGTCATCCACCCTCCACCACCACCAATCAAAACTACCTCACACAACTATCAACCAAGTCGCCCCTCAATCAACTTATCAGGACGAGATCTTCATCACAAGACACCTTAAACATATTAACACTCAGGTTATAATTTTTTGAAGTATAATAATCAATAAATAAATTTGTTAAAACTGTTACAAGCTTATAGTTTTTTGACAGCACAACACCAATTTTTAGAAATCTTTTAAAAATAAAGTTAATCATGTCATCTGCTATTTCTCTAACAGTTGGCTCATGAGGTTATTCTCCAGTGGACTTGAAAGCCCTGCTGATGAACAGGCAAGAATGCAATCTGATTAGAAGTCTTATGTAACCACTTCCAAAGTTCTCATTGCAACTGATTATTTTGTCCGTATGGTCATTTTTCATCGAAATCTTCTCAGCAGTTTTTCGCTGATTGTTTTTTAAAACTCGCATGTAGGGAAATTAATGATTTCTATTTCACGGGAAATTATTGACGAACTAAACATCGGCACACAATAAAACTAACGAAAGCCATGCAAACAAGCAAGACACCAATTATCCAAATTGATAATAATTATAGAAAAAATATAATCAGACTAATTTGCGAATGTTAGTCGCATGTCGACTTTTCCAATTCCAAATGGATCTAATTATCAAAATGGAAAAACATTGAATATTATGTGTATCGTATCGTAATAAGGTAAACAGAAATAGCCTAAAAATCTCAACTAAATTAGCAAACTTCATCATTAGTTGTTTTTGGCATGTGTTCCGTTTGTGGTTATATAAGTCATTAAAATTTTTAAATTAATTCTAATAAATATGATTTATAATGAAATTTTTTTTTTAGAAATAATATAATAATAAATTTTATAATTTAACGTTTATAATTTTTTTATTATTGATAGAAATTTTCACGATCACCGAATATAGCCATGCATTGGCCGTTGCTCATTTTCTTACAGGCATGTCTTTAGTTTAAATTATAGCATGAAATGACTGAGATACTAATATTTTTAAATTTTCTTTTTACAAATTATTTAACAGATTTAACAGATTTAACCATATTTAGTTGGAATTCCCAAAACCAAATTAGTAATTATGCCTAGAGAACAAAATAATTAGAGTTAATTCTTAATTTCTCGTTCACTTTTAGAAAAAATATAAGGAACATTTTTTGAATGTTAGCTACATCTCGATTTTTTCTATTTCACACAGATCTTATTGTCAAAATTCAACAAAATATCTTTATTTAATTGAATTACCGTCAACCGCCATGGTCACAGGTAGCAGGCAATTCAGCGTCAAATCCCCACCAAGTGACCATTCACGACATTTTAAAGTCTATCAAGAAAGTAATCATTCAATCCAACACTCACCCATTAATTAATAATAATTAAAATGTAATCAATAATTAATTCTCACGCGTAATAAATAAAAAAAACCTGGTAACACAAAAACAAAACCTCAGTAAAAACGATGAAATAGAAACTTCAACGACCGTATCAAAAAGACATAAAATGAGAAATTATTGCAATCCAATTACGCATCATGAAAATAATTTTATATACCTCGCCCCATCTGCTGCTAAGTTCAATGAGGCATAAAAACTGGCGGCAAGTCATTCGAACAACTTGACTTGATAGATTATCATTGTGGCTATTAACTATTATTATTCTTATTATTTTAATTCATCTTTTTAATAATAATAATAATAATAATAATAATAATCAAAATATAAATAATAATAATATCTCTTAATTATTTTCCAGAATTACCGACAAAATACAGAGACAGAGGATGACCAAGCACCACTTTCATTGCATGTAAGAGGCGAGAAATTTTTTCTCCAAACATAATTTCAATACAACTTGAATTTTCATTTAATTAAAAATTCATCATCAATACAACCTTATTTTAAAATTTAAAGGAAATTTTTTTAAACCAGAACGATTTTTATTAGGAATGGCAAGATGGTGTAGTTATTCATGCATGTCCACACACACACCACTCCACACACACACACACACACACACACACACACACACACACATCTTTTTTAGTGGAAAGATGATTTTCAAAAATCATAAGTGAATGATCAAATGAACAGAATTCTGTTTATCCTATTACTGTATTTCATATAGAATGTTGAATCAAAATTCATAAGTTAATGATCATTTTCTTTTGCAAAATTGTCAATAATTTCAATAATTTTCTTTCATAGTCTGGTGGGTTGAGAGGGACAACCCCGCATCTTCCCCTGGATCTGCCACTGAATGGGGGAACCCCAGATTTCAGCAAACAAAAAAAAACGAAGATTTCACGTTTTATTTCGTCCACTAAAGAGATAAAAAAATAATGAGCGATGGAAGTTTTTTAACCGTTGTGTTTATATTTGTGAATCTGCCTCTGTGTTACTGTGTGATTTCACATAAGCAGTCTGTGGAAATATTTTGGCTATGTTTGTAAAAAAATATGTTTGTCTGAATTTTTATTTAGCTGTTGAATAGGCTTGAATAATTCTTATATATTGTAAATTTTTAACTGTTGTATATGTTTAACAAGGTTCATAAATAGGCGTTCTTATTGTTTATATAATCGTATTATTATTTGTATGCCTCTATGAACTTTTTCGTACGACCAAAGACATGAAGCATTTGTTGAATTTTAAAATTTTTGAAATAATAGAAGATCAGTAATCGTGTGAAGATGTCATTTTAATTTTCGCACTCTCATGTTTGGGAACGGAATCAAACAATTCTTCTCCTGTTTGAGATGTAAGCACTTGAACAGCCGTCAACATTGAAATCAATTTCATCATCACAATTATTGCCATCATGCTCTACACACCATTATCATCCTCATCTCCACCATCACACACAGCACTTCACCAATCCAATTCGTAGTGCAGCCATCCGTGTAAGTAAATAAGTTACAGAGGACCTAAGGCCACGAAAAAAAAACTACAGCAAATTAAATGGTGAACATTTACATGAAGAAGTGAAAAAAACGAGCCAACGAACTAACATGCTTCTCACAGAGACAAACACAATGAAGCCGCTAACACATTACAAACATTTTAAGCCAGTGAAGCATCCAAAATTTGTTTTCGGTGGCATAAAATTTTTGACAAAAAGTTTACAAAATTTATTCTCTCTTGTCGCCTTATCACACATTTTCAAAACATTTTTTTATATTGAAATCTGTATTTTTGTATTTTTCATTGCTGAAAATTTTTCATCCAAATTTTTAAAAAAATTTATATAGAAATTTCATTTGCTTAAACATGGAAGTTTCCCACTTTGGGTGGTTTTAACCACAACGGCCCGTTCCTCGTCTACACTCATTGATACGATTTTTTATTGATTTCACGTTTGATTTATATTTTTAAAATGAAAAAATTTACAAACGACGGATAAAAATATACCGCGGTACATCAGAGAGTTGTATCAGTGAATTGTAAAATGTGTATAACTTAAAACTTGAGTATACTACAACATAACCATATTACAACCCCTCAGAGGGCTACAACATTTGAAAGGCTTGTAAAACTCTTGAACGCCGAAAAAAGGCTGATAGACATCACATCAAAGGACAATATGAAAAAAAATTTATTATGAAATAATAAATTGAAAAATAATAAACCACGCTAAATAATTTTTTAATGTATTTTTTACACACACACACACGCATACACACACGCACATATACACACACACATACACAGTCATATAAACACTGGAAAAAACTAACAAATGAATGAAAAAAATTAAACAATAAAAAGCAAACTAATGAAAATTGCCAAACAGATGAAGAGATTGACTGAAGAAACTAAACGAAAGAATGAATGGAGCACTTAGATGATTGAGGCGTTCAAACAACACACTCACACACGCGCACGCGCACACACACAAACAAACAAGACACAAACAAACATGACATACACACACACACAGAGACACACACACAGACACAGAGACACACACACAGACACACACAAACACACTCAAACTCACATATAAAAACAGCCACACACTCACACACACACACACACCCAAAGTATAAGAATGTATATCTATGTCTAAACAACATGAAATAAAACAAATACATCATACAACAACAACAACAAAATGATCCGTAACTAAATAAAACCTAAAAAAATGTGAGAGTTAAAATGATTGTACTGCATACATTGTATCAAAACCAACAAAATAATAACATAATGAATAAAAAGTAAATAAAAAAATTAAATCTGAAAATTCTTTTGAAGGAACTCAAAAAATAATAGGTTAGTAACGAAAATGAATTCGAGGTTTAACGGAAGAAATGAAGCAGGAGAAAAGTTTGACAGAAATTAAAAAAGTGTCCCTCTAAAAATGGCAAAACAAGAAAAATTCTACGAAAAAAAATGTAAAAGAGGTAGAGAGAGTGAGAGTGAAGAAGGAAGTGAGAGAGAGAAAGAAAGAGAAAGATGGGAAGGAAAATACGAAAAAAAATAAAAAGAAGGAGAAAAAGGAAAAGAGAGGAATAAAAAACTTGATCGCCCTGGACGGGCAGCAGTACTCCGCAAGAACACGTTGAAATCTGTTTGTGTAATTTATTTTGCTTTATGGAGCCATCACTTGACGCCACATCCGACAGTCATATCTGTTAAACTTCATGTTAATGTCAGTCTGTCTTTACGCGCGCGTGTGCGTGTGTGTGTGGGTGTGTGTGCGTGTCTGTGTGCGTGCGTGTCTATATCTTTGTATGTGTGTGTGTTTGTGAATGTGTGTGTGTGTTTGTGCGTATGTGTGTGCGTGTGTGTGTGCGTGTATGCGCGCGTGTGTGTTCGTGTATGCATGTGTGTAGTGTGTGTGTGCGTGTATATATTCATGTGTGTGCGTATTTATGTGTATGTGTGTGTGTATGTGTGTGTGTGGTGTGTATGTGTGTGCATTATGTGTGTGCATTTGTACATACAGATATGTCTACACAAACATACGAACACTTAAACACCTAAGTTTGTGGTTTTGTGCTGACTTTTTAAAATAAATTTTTGTTGAAAATTATAGCACATCAAATTGCCAATAATAGAAGATGATGATGATGACGACGACGACGATGTGATGATGACGTTAATTTTGATAATGACTTCGAGTTTGATGACAATGGCTATGAGGAAGATAACAACATAAATGGTGATTCTTGGTAATGGTGATGAAGTTGTCGATGATAAATAGTTTCATTATCCTCAATTAAGAAAATTTTGTTAAAAACAGTAGCCGCCTGTCTCAATTTACTTCGGCTGGTTATTCAAAATGTTCGCGCCACGAATTTGTTTCTATTCCATTTGA